CCCCCCTGTCCCGCAGGACCTGCCCAAGCCCGGCGGGGTATGCCGGTGCAGGAAGGGGCGGGTTTTGTTGCCAGTTAAGTTTCGGATTCCTGTCATGAGAAAGCCCCTGTGTTTGTAGGGCAGCGCGCCCTGCCCTTTGCCGCCCTCGGCTTTTGTTGCTCGCGTGGGATGTTTCTGAAGCCCCAAACCTTCCAGCAGGAAACACTTTGGCCATAAATTGGCCGGAGCACCAAGGGACGGGGCTGCACCTAACATTACCGATAGCTGTTTTGTTCTTGAAACGCAGCCCTCGATACCAGTTTGTCCCTTGTGAGTGTGACATAGGTAGGGTGAAGTTTTCTGATGTGCGTTGTCCCTTGTGACTTCCCTTTCGTTATTGGCCAAATTTAAGGTATATCCGTGATGCTCTCATTGGGAACGGTGCAGGTGTTTTCTACAGCATGCGTTTTTAGAAACCTTGTATTTCTTCCCTATTAGTTTTTGCGCTCCATGCCTGCAGGAATGTCTTAAGCCGAAAAAGCCAGTGTGTGGAGTCTGCCGTAGTACCCTGTCTCCTGGCAGCACAGCTCTGGATCTGGAAAAACAAATTGAAATGACAGAAACTGCTTGCAGTGGCTGCAATAAAAAAGTATGAAAGCATTTAAAAACTTCAGTACACGATTCCCTATTTAGCCACACCTGGAAAATAACTTTTTTCTTTTCAGCCTTCTGGAGAGTCAGCCATCAGGATTTTAATGTTGTTAAATAATGCTTGGTAGCACACCAGTGTCCTCTCCTCCTCCCCACCCCAACCTTGTCTTCTGTTTCTTCCTTTGAGACGTGAACTTCAAATAAAGGGGCAAGTAATCAGCTAATGAACTGAAGTATGCAGCAAACATGCAATGTAAAGATGTCATGGGAACTTGTGTGCGCACATTTCTGCAGGGAGAATGCTGTTTTATAAATGCAATGTTTGTCCCGGGAGAAATCAAGTGAAACCTGTCTGGAGAGTCTGTCGGACTGATTATTGACAGAAGCACCTTTCTGATAGAGTTATTAGAAATTGTATTCAGTATATTAGGGGTAGTTTGCTATGGTGGTGCTGCCTGGTATCTGGGTCTTCTCCAGCTTCTGCTGTACAGATAAGAGTCTAATGCTGTGGAAATATGTAATCTGTAGACATAAATGTTATCCTTCCATGATATTATTAATACAGAGCCCAGACTTCAGACGTTGCAGCGTAGAAATTAAAGAGCACTGCTGTTACGATGGCAGTGCTGTAAAAATAACAAACATTGATTATCTCCTTATTACTCTGCTACGTGACCAATTGACTTTTTGATAGTCAGCATAGCTTAATAGCTAACGTAGAACTCGCTTCCACCAGATAAAGCTAAAGCTAATTAGTTAAAAATCCTTAACGTGATAGGGTTCCTTCTAGATATACCTTATACAAATTCCTACCAACTAAAACTTTTTTTTTTTTTTAATTGTATGGCTTGCCTTTCATGCTGCATTTCCTGTAACTTGGGTCTAGCCAGTTTCACTTTCGTTTCTAGGCAGTTTTGTTTTCTGACTCTTGGGTACTAGAAAAAATGCAAGTGTTCAAATTTGTAAAAAGGTTGATTTGTCATAAAAGAAAAAACTAGCCTCCATATTTTACTGTCTGAATAAAATATAAACCCTCCAGATTTACCACTGTTTTCTACCAGAGTCTGCCACACACATTTGTCAGAGTTCTGGAAAGCATCAGTATTCAAATACCTTCAATTCTTATTTAGTTATAGAATTCTTACTAGGTTTCTTTCTCAGTTTGACACTTGTCTTATCAGAATGAATAGAGAAACGAGTTGCTAAATTTAATAAAATCTTCTTATATACTCTTTGCAATTAATCAGAATAACATTAGCGGTAGAGGTACACTGATGCATTGGCTCCCTTACCGCAGAGACCTCAACTCTCTCCCCACCACACCCCTTCCTTCCTCCCTGCCTCCCCTCCCCCCCGCCCAAGCAGACTTACCAGCCAGACGCTGCTCTCCATGTTGGCGGGCTGCATATTAGCAGTCGGATCAGCATTGGCCAATATGGCTCATTAATAATTGGCCATCAGTATCACCCCCAAAAATCTTTATTGGTGCACCCCTAATTTGTAGGACATATCAATACTAACATTTTGTTTAGCAAAGAATCATTGTACCCTATGAGAGGAAGAAATGGTTACAGTGTAAGCTTGTGATCATAAGCATTTTTCTAGCACACTTAATTTACATCTGGCCTAATACTCTGTTGTGTTTACTTTTATACAATATATTGGCTAATGATTCAGTAGCTTGTCTCTATTTGAGCCCATAACAGGGAAGAATGGCAGGCAGAGCTGGAACGTTGGCTTGGTTTAGTACAAAGTAGAAATTAGTTTATTTTCCTTTTGATGTAGAGGGGAAAAAAAGCAAGAATTATGGTACTCGGGTGAACAGGGAGTCTAAGCATTATATTATATCATAATGTATCACAAGTAGCATGTTAACCTAGTGAGTAGCTTCTGTTCAGAACGGACTGCCTTGTGCCACAACATTCAGTTTTCCTTATTTTAATGTTCTCCGAACAGAATGTTTTCTGATTCCTGTGATTTGCAGTTCCTCTACTTAACCTTAATAACCTTCACATTCTGTCTCTTGTTTGCATAGATGTACCTTTCAAAGTTACGCAGTCATGCAGCTTCTTGTTCAAAATACCAGAACTATATAATGGAAGGTGTGAAAGCTGTAACTAAAGAACCACCTTGTAACACCAGGTATTTCTGTTTCCAGTCGTTTACAGGGAGGTTGTTGGGTAAAGATTTTTGATGGTGGAAGTTTTAGTTAATGCCAAAGCTTGCTTTCCTGATTTGTTTTTATATGTTTTGGTGCATTTGGTGTGTTGCAGGCACTTTCTTGTGCAGCATGTGAAAGTACAAGCAAAGACTGTTAGCTCTTCATTTAGTCTAGGGGGAGTAGTTCTTTTAATGATGTATTACAATTAAACTAGGCTCTAATACCAGAAATGATATCGCCCAGGCGCACTGCTCTACTGACTTAAATTGCCCATGCACAAACTACTACAAGATCAGGGTCCTGGGTAAGGCTATCTAAATTTTATTTAGTTTTAAACTTGTTATTCTGTCTCTGATTAATTACTGAAATGAAATGAGAAATGACTACATTGAACTGGTCATCCATATTGTAGACTATCTGGCAAACTTTCATATTCTTCATAAAAATGGCGCAGACCAGGAAAGCAAGCTGAACTTGATATTTTTGTAAGGGAATAACTGTAATTGCCAGTATTAACTTTGCCCTTTGAGATGTCATTTCTTCACTGATAGAAAAAGCAAGTTCTTAAATTCAGCTTGCTCATATATCACACAATACGTGGTGACCCTAAGTGCTCTGTATTTAAATATTCTCTCTCAAATTACCATGAGTAGCCAGTCTCTCATTAGGTATTAACTTTCTAAAATGTAAACAATCTTTTTTTTTTTTTTTTCCCCCACCCCAGGAATGTTCCAAATCGCTTTACCTTTCCTTGTCCTTACTGCAGTGAGAGAAACCTTGATCAGGAAGGACTAGTTGAACATTGCAAAAAGTACCACATCATGGATGCAAAACAAGTGGTAATGCTTACAGTATCAGATTCAATATAACGCTGGTGTTGCAGAAATATGCCAGTTGCCTGAAGCTAGTTTTAGCATTAGGTCCCTTGGTAATTTCTGCTCGGGGACCTTAGACACTTAAGTGTATGCCTGATTTTAAACTGCAGGTATTCCTTTTGAGTTAAATAGGACTATCCTTGTGAATAAAGTTGTGTGTATACAAAAATGTTAATGTTTGGATATTACTCTTGTTTTGAAGATCTGGGCAAATTCAAACACGCTTCTCGAGGAGTCTGTGGGGAGGTAGACAAGTTTTCAGAAAGATATCAAAGCATCTTTTAAGTGCCTATGCTCGCATTTAAAAAAACATGTGCACTAAACTAGCCATCTTAACCTCTTGAAGCTACAGGTAATGTTGGAATGAAATTTTGACATCCAAGCCTTTTATGTACCATTCCCTAAATCCTAAGCAAAAGTATATAACACTGTCTGATGTGTAAACTTTGTAATATTGTTACAAGCATTTACACAGATCTTTACCTACAGACATGGCAGTAAGTAGAATAGAAGCAGCAAAACTTGAATTTGGCTCTAACAATTAATAATTGGGGTGTAGTTTTGAAAAACTTCTCTAGTTTTAATTTACAAAATCACAGTCTCTTTTTCTATGAAGACATCAATATGTTCTACAAGAGTGTTGGTGTGCAGATATTTTATAATCTGTAGAAATGAAGGTTTCTAAAAGTATTTTAGAAATCAAACTTAATTCAGTATTTTGCCCTCCACGAGAGGTTGGAGGCTCAAACTACCAGTCTTACTTCAAAGTCACAATCTTCTGAATTATGTTAATTCAGTATCTGAGGAACCAATTGGTTTATGTAGTGTTCTGTGGCTTGACAAAACACTCTCAATTCATTTTGCATACAAAGTGAAATTCTGGTTATATGAACTGTGTTCATAAGCTTCACAATCGTATAGAAGCATTTTTTCTGTTTCTTTGGCACTTTCCTCTCTTAATGTTTTTTAAATTGGTTACTTAGAGGCAAAGACCCTGGACTTCAGGAGGGAAATATGCGTGCTAAAAATTGCCATGAAATAAGAAAGGCCTCTAAAGAGGTCTCTAGTTCTGAGGGTGTGCTTCCCAGCTGAACATGAAGGGAATTCAACATTGGCTTTTGTGGCTTTTTTGAAAGGTTTGCCCAATTTGTGCCTCAATGCCATGGGGAGATCCCAACTACAGGAGTGCCAATTTCATGGATCATCTTCAGAGGCGGCATCGGTTTTCCTATGATACTTTTGTGGTATGTAATTCCTTATAAAACTCTTAGAATATAGCAGAATGATTGCTGTGTTTGTTTGAAAGTGTAGTTTAGCCATTCATGTAGATACCTTCCTAATAGGGGCAATGTATCCCTTTCTGGAGTTGGGTAAAATTCTGCTTGCTTTCTGTTGAAAGTCTGATGCTTCTTAAACTTGTTAAATGTTTGTAATGGGTAAACAGTGAAATCAAGTGAAGAGTCTAATGACTTCTGCCTTTTCTGTCCTTAGGATTATGATGCTGATGAAGATGATATGATGGCACAGGTTTTGTTACGGTCCTTGAGGGATAAATGAACTAAGTAGGAGAAAAACTGTAATACTAAGCTTCCATTAGGGGGAGTTCCCAGCATCCCTCACACTTCTCCTTACACAGTCCAAGATGAACTCAGGCATCCAAAAATAAATAAGGAAGATTTTTGAAGAGTCCCAGTCTCCTGGCCTCAGCTCCTGTTCTTACTCTACATGTCATTGCTTAACACTATCAAAACAGGTTTTTTTGGCTGCTCAGCCATGTGAGGCTAGTATTCCTGCTCCTTTCATGCTAAGTTTAGCCAGTTGTCTCCTCTGTATTTCTGTTGCCTCTTTTCATTTTCCCCACCCTTGTGTCTGTCTGCTCATTATGTCCATTCTTACTTGATGAGAACATAAGTGCTACCAGAGGAACTGCTGTTGAGAGGGAATGGCCTACACTGGCAAGTGAAGATTATTTAAAAAAAAAAAAAAAAATCTTATCTTTATGCTTCCTAAATGTTGATCAGATACGCTGGCATTTTTGGTCTATGGAAGCTGTTAGTCTGTTAGATGCAACTGTCAGAAACTGGTTTGCATTTGAGACTGCCTGGAATGTCTGTGATTACACATTCTTTAGCGTTTCTAATGCTGGTAGTTGGTCTTTTAACTAAACCTAGTACATTGCCTCAATGATGAATCTTTAAAACTTGTATTTTCATTGTAGTTCTGTTCATCTGCATAAGAAACTTGTTCATAATACCTGGTTCAGTACCCGCATGTTATGTACCAGCTTAAATAATCATACTTTGGTTAAAACATTTCTAGTCTAGAAAGTAAAATTCTGCATCCAAAAATTCTTAGTTTAAAAATCCACATGATGTACTTGTCACGTGTAATAATTATCTCATGTCCTGAACTGACAATTTAAGATCTTTTCTAGAACTTAAGCTACTAAGCATAACATGCAAGCCTTCACTTGATAGAGGGATTCAACACTAGAACATCTAGGAATCCGATTTGTTTTTTAAACTAAAATGTGGTTATTAGCTTCCAAGTCTTCTGTCCCTCAAGATCGTCTGATAGTAAAATGGATTAATGATCTTTAGCATTTCCTAAGCACTATTTGTGTTTTTACAAATTCTACAAAATATTTTGAACCCCTGAGCTTCATTTAAATTATTCAGCTATATTGTGAAATATTTAAGTGGATGATTCTGTATTTAGAATATAGTGTTCATATAATGTTTATTATAGGTATTGTTTTTGAAAGGAACACCCGAAGAGTAGACAGGAAAGCAGAGACATAACTCAAAATGATATGCAAAGATAATGTACTTTCTACGTGTATGAATACGATAGGCTGGTATTACCTTCTAGAAATCACTTTGGGTATTGAGGCTGAATATTTTTATTCACAAATTAACAGCAAGGAACTTCAGGTTCGTGAGGTCCTAGCTAAGGCTTCTGTATCCAGTGGGCCTGCAGACTACAGTGTAGTGTAGCATACAGAGCTAGCTTGAGTTCTCGAGGCAGGCTAAAACAGCTTGCTAAGAAGCTCTATTATCTTCACACTGTGCTGGGCTCTGTAATTTGACCAGACCTTCAAATTGCTTTTTAGAACAGTAAAAAGTTCCAGCTTAAAGTGGTTTGTTTGAAGCTTGAGCTTGCCCACACTGGCTGGGCAAATTAAGTATAAACCATTTCATATTGGGCTTAGTTTTCTTTTTTTGTTGTTTTTTTTTTTATGTGCTTTCACTCATTTGGTATGGACCAGTTTAGATCCATCAGAAGGTGCAATCTACTTGAGAATTGTGTGTCAAATCCTGAAAACTTTTTCATGCAATGCTCTGAACATGTACCATGTGCTTTTTGGCATTATGTTCTCGAAGTGTTTGGGTAGAAGCTGTGGAATTTGTGAATTCTGGCTAGAGCCCAAAGTCACCACCTGACTCTATTCCACATTTCTTCTAGTATTCTAAGTGCACTTCCATGTCATCTTGACAATGTTTCTGAGAGCTAAGCAATTAAATTGTCTTGTTCTGACTTTTTGAAGACAAGATATCAATAAATTTCATATAATTTATAAAACCTTCTCTTCATGGAAACTTTTGTGATTTATCATGCTCTGCAGTCCTTCCTGTTTTCTCCTTACACATCTTTCCTGAAGGGAGGCTCTGGCTGGCTCCATCATGCATCACTAAGCCTAATTGAGGCTACAGCTCAGTCAATGTTAAAGTATTTTTGTGTGCAGTCTTGTAGCATTAGATCCACTCAAGTATTAGAACCAAGTGGCTCAAGTGCTAGTGTAGACCAGGCAGCTCACCATTTGAGATGAGCATAATTCAGACCTAGCTAGAATGAAATCTTAATTAAATTGTAAAGGGGTTTGGCATCCACCGCCACACAAAACAATGCTATACTGGGTCAAACTAATGCTCAGTAGCCCTTCTCCAACAGTTGCAGGAGTGGATGCTTCAGGAGAGCACTAAACTGGCTGTATCTGGAATGCTTTATCCCTGCTCATTACATTCCTTGGCATGTACCATCATCAGTTTAGAGAAGCTGGAGGAAACATCTCCAACTGCTGTTTAAAACCACATAACTGCTGATGCTAAAATGATGGACCAAATGCTTAGGGCAGCCCCAGCCCAGCTGATCAGACTTGACTTTCCCATGGGCTCCTGTTGGATTCCCTATCTTTCAGAATTTGTGCCTTTTTTTGACTGCCATGGACAATGTTCATACCTATGCTGCACTGCTTTGAGTCTAGAGGTAGACGGACAGAAGCTTGAACTTTCCCTTTACGATAAAAAGGGGGAGGGAGAAAAAGAAACCAAATTCTGATGTCTAATTGAGTTTAATCATTTATATTTAACAGTAGCAATATAGATGGTGGCTCTGATTAGATCATCCCTTAATTGAAAGGGGATTAAGTGGTTGAATAATTCATCAGTGTATTGTTGAGGGTTTGGGTGTGGGTTGCAAATTTAGCTGTAGGTGAGAAATAAATAAATTGGGAACCACAATGTTTGAGCTATCCTTATGGGGAAAAAAATTGAGCAGCATTCCTTCAGTTTGGCTTCTCAGCATGTAAAGAGGGCATGCAACTGTGTCTTTGCACCTGTTAACCTGACAACTGTAGGTTATACATTCCCTGGTGTGATACGTATTCATACAACTGTTCAAAGATAGTGACAAATTGAGCAACGGTATGAGAGAGTTTGTAAAACTCAAATTCCAGTTCTTTATAGATATTTTACTGTAGAAAAGTGTTTAACATGCCCTTGGCTGCTACTTTAGCAGATGAACAAAGAGAAAGTAGATAAAAAACAGATTGTGATGTTTGTGTCTTATGACTGCTCATAAAAATATGCAACCCCTTATGTATGTACTTAACTGTCAAGTGGGTTGGTTTTCTGTGTAACCTTTGTTCATCTGGTGGTTTTGTGTTGAGAAATTTTGGATTAAATATAGCCTCATTGTTCAACCATCTTTAGTTTCATTACTAAATCAAGGCCAGTATCTCTGCAGCAGGGTTGAGTACTCTGCCAGGGCACCTTTCAGTCATTGTCAGTTGTTGACCTTGTGGTCAAATGCCCATTCTTGGTGTTAATTTAATCTGGCCAGCCCTGGAACTGTGAAATGCCAGGGTCTTGCACTGAAATGGGATTAAAAGGAGAGTTAGCACGAAGCAAGGGAACATACAATTAAACTCTCTTATCCTCCCCTCCCCTCCTCTCCTTTTAAGTCAAAGATCAACCTTATGAGGTTTGGGGATCCTTACCATGCTCTACCTTAAAAAATAGTGATGAAAGGGGATGCTAGCTGTCCTCATCTAAACAGAGTCAACTTTGCTCCTGGAATCAAAATAATGAATTCCATTGGTAACTTTTTAAAATAAAGAATACAACACCAAGAAAATGTGTCCTGATGTTTGACATGTGAAGTGGTAAATTGACTGATGGTCAAGCTGCTCAGTTTCAGTACAAAAGCTGTCCAGTGGCAAAAAGCAGCAAGGAACAGCATCACACTGGGGGCGGTAGTGCTTGCATGCACACGTGCACGTGCTCTCACACTCTCTCTCCTACATGTATCATTTTGTATTGCATGTTTCATACTCCAGGGAGGGAGTGATAAAGGTAACGGCTCTGCCAGATGGGGGTAGTGGCTGCAAAGACATTTTTACACTGCACCCCAACTGTTGCATTGCTGGGATTTTAACAATCTCTACCAAGGCACAAAAGCCCTGTAGAGCACACCTTGTTTGTATTAGAAATGGTGACAAACATAATCTATCATCTTCACCTTGCAGTTGGATCATTTTCCTCCAATTCAGCTGTAGCCATTGTACCTACTCCTGAACCAGGGAAGTCAAATGGAGGGCTTGCAGAGCTGCTCCATCTGGCAGCAAGCTGGGAAATTTGGGGAATGGGGTCGATGGGGGTGGCCTGCTGCAAAATCCAGGGCCCTGTTGGACATAGCCATCTGTGACCGCAAGGTAAGGGCTGTGCCAGAATCTGGCTTGGAGCATGGTGAGTTGACACCCCTGCCTCAACCATTCTGCCACCTCTGGTTTTATAAACAGCTGGAAGCCAGCTGTTCTAGTAAAGCCAGCTGCAGGAAGCTGCAAAAACATTTAGTGAACTGTAGCAACATCCCAAGGGCAAGTACCAGCCCCTAAAGTCTGGGTGTAGTCTCCTATTCCATAGACCTGTAAGCATGTTGCCTGTTTTCAGATAAAGGTACTGCTTACACACTGGTGTAGACAGTTCAGACTGCACCCTTCATTTTGGCAGATGGAGTTTATAGATATCTTGGTCATGAGGAGGTGGTAGGGAGAAAAATGTGGCTTTAGCTAGATAGGTGGGGCTACCGCTTTGCAGCTAGTTGGAGGTAAAGCACTTAGCTAACAGGCTGTAAAACCTTCCTATTGACAGGGTTATCTACTTACAACAATTCCATTCATTCCTATTTAATATGTTACAGTTACATTTTATAAATGAACCAGTTCTGCTGGACAAAGTAATAGAATGGCTACCCTCTCCTCAACACTTAGCACTGAGCACACTGCATGCCTACTTCTTTTTCCCACATTTTCCTGTTGCAAAGATTTGTGTGTGTGGAAAAAGGCCCCCTCTTTGCCACAGTGCTTATGTTGTACAGAGCTGGTCATGTCTGGAGTCTGAGCCCCGTGAATCCAATTAACATGAATTGCAATTTCATGCTTAAATCCCCATGCTTTGAATGGAGGGTCTCTGCATTCCTTCACAATGCCCTTTTTTGTTACATGGAAAAATCATATTACAGGGGAACTATAACTGCCTTTGGCCGGCAGAGGGAGCACATGTATTTTAGAGAGAATAGGTGTAGTAGAGCTGTTTGGCCTGTCTGCATGCCACCTACACATCCTGACTTCTGGAACTCCTCACTGTCATCTCCCCTCAGCAGCCCTTGTTTAGACTGCGTTTCATAGAGCAGAGATGATTCTTGTGAAGGACAAGGGAAAGGGAAGCTGCTCTGTTGAAACAGGTGTTGCTGGAAAATTGTACTGACGGCTTTGCCCTCCCCTCTACTGAGAGATTGTTTCCTGTACAGCAGAAAGTTTAAAATACCCTCATATGGTCAAATGTAGGGAAGATGAAACAGGAAACCCCCAGTAAATCATCTTGCTTATCCCCTTGCTAGTGCAGGATTCCCCCCCCCCCCCCCCGTGCTCTCCTAGTTATCCATTCAGAACTGGTGGAGAGGAGGCCCTTGCCCCGCAAAAGGAAGCTAAGCGTGCACCTTGCTACAATGCCCTGGAGACTGCAGTCACACTGAGCTATGAGGGAATAACTGTAGGCAGCTGGAGGTGAACACAGCAGCAAAAGCCCAACACCAGTGGATGCACCAGAAAGGTCCAGCAGACCTGCCTGCAAAGGGTAGTCCCAGCACACCAGTTTCTGTAGGCCGTGAGAGCGCTGTGGTTAGCATCATATCCAGCCATATGGGTAACAAGGTACCAGTTTGCAGCTGGGTAACTGGGCACAAGTCTTGGGCTCTAAAAAATGCCAAAGCAGCTCTGCCTTTACACCCCATGAGAGAACATTTACACCTGTGCACTGCTGAGTGCAGGCAATGGGTGCTGCCTGCCCAACCTCCTTGCTCTCAGCTCCTCCACAGCTGTCCCATCCAAAAACGGTTTGACTTCAGGAAAGTTAATCCAGGCACTTAGGAGCCATTCCTGAGGCCCGATACCACCTCAAGTCAGTAGCAATTTTGCTATTATTAAGGATCACTAGAATGATTTTGCAACACAGGTTGCTTGCTCACCGGCTCTCTCACTGGCACGAATAAGCATCTCTCTGGGTCTTTGCGTTGTGAGGAAAGACTGTGCTGACACCCAAAGCCCAGCGAAATCCCAAAGCTGCAATGAAGTCTTCCCTACTTTTGCATCCCTCCCCAAGAGACGGATCACTTGCCACACACGAGACGCTTTCAATGCTGGAATTGCAGAAGCACCTGGATGTCAGGAAGGACCACCGCTGCCACCCTGCTCCTTGGCTCTGCCGGGCAAACCCTCTCTAGGGAAGGGGAGGCTGGTGCCCCCCTTTCCCTGCCTTCCTCACCCACAAAAAGGCAGAGGCCAGCAGCTGCCCGACAGGGACTGAGGACTTCCCGGCAGGTGGCTGGCAGATTTGACCTCCGGGGAAGAAGGGAACTTGGGAGAAGGGAAGGACCAGGGGAGGGGGCAGCTGGCACGTGCCCGCCCAGCATCTGCAGCGGGTTAATAAACCAGGTGACCTTCACAAGTCTGTTTCCAGGCCTTTCCCGGGGGGCAGAGCGCGCCCGCTTCCACGCCGGGCCCGCG